TGAATTGTGCGTATGGTGGATGAATAGTCGGATGTCGGTGTACGCGAATTCCGTGACCACACAATTTATTGGTAAGAGCTCATGAGGCGTAGCGTAGGGTTACATGACATATTGAAATTTTGTGCAGGATCCAGTTACGAAGCCCTGTAACGCAGAAAGACAGAAGACTCCCCCTGCCAAGGATCGAGACGTTCAAGAAAATGTGTCCAGCCAGGAAACGAGCTTTTTCGGGGGGACTCCGGGATGGGTGAGCCACTCATCATACGTGGAAAGCTGGAATGTGCGAAGTCACAATGACCATAGAGTGCCACGCGGACGAGAGAGAGCAGAGAAAAACACAAATTCGACGCGTTTAAAGGAATTGAGTTCAAGTTGTCCATAGAGTGTAGCGTAGGGCAGGGTCAAGCATTACGTCCCGAAAAATCGCCTGGTCAGTGCTACCTTCACCCTTTCAAAGAAGAGCATACATCTACACCCCTCCCACCCCTTGCAGGATGTTTTGCCCACCATTGCGTTGCGTTGCACGCTTCGACAGTGGAGCACTGCTTGACCCACTGAACCACCAATGATCTTGAACCCTTCTGAAAAACAGCCTGACACCATGAGCAAACGATCATTCGCCAAGCGGTAAGCAGAATCAGTTGTTCTGGGGAGGTCTTGTACGAATTCACGAAGCCATCATTTAGCTCGTATAAGAGCTTCACATAGAAACAAAGTGGAAAATTCCGAACAAACGAGAGTTTTCTACCTTTCAGCTGATGCAACTTTGCCCAGACGCGCAACGTAGCGCGGAAGCCTACATGGTTTGCCCGAGAGGGTCGAAAGAGTTCAAGCGCCGCGGCGCTATTACGGATGCTGTGTACGTCACACAGTCTGCAGCGCCTGTTTCGCCGTGGCTGCCGCAACTTGGAAGTAACGCTCCACCTCCTGAACACGTTAACTCTTTGTATTCCTTCACACATTTGCATCTCTCCGTTGGGCTCCAAACCATTTTTATTGGAATGAGTTTATCCGCATAGATAAAAACAAGCGGAAACGCGCAGAAGGAAAACCTGAAAGAGCCTTCGGTCTGGGATGAAGGTGCGCCCTATACACGAACCCACCTTTTACCGCAGATAGTGAATGAATCCCTAGCTCATCCGGCTTCCAGTCATTATGACTTTCACTTCTATATTACATTTGATAGCTGCTTCAGAGGAAGAAACTGAAGCCGTCAGTGGTGTTCCAGAAACGAACGGAAACTTCTCATGTGGACTGTGGTCGTATACTCACCGGCGACATTGTAGGTACCTCCAAAAGCTTTTTTTCACTAATTTCACGTTACTTTTCACCGTACTTGAATTGCCTGATTTTTCGCCATTTTGCGACTTCTTTCTTGGTTTTTTCTCCTTTCACTTCTTTGAAGCAGAGCATGACTAATGACCGATCAGAACAGCTTTCACCTCGCTTCACTGAGAGACTGCGGAATTTTGACTTCTATTTTGCTTTCGAAAGCTCGATCTATTGACAGCCGTGAGCCGCGTTGAAAAAAAACTGGACAGAATGGTTGCGTCTGCGTGGTTCTTCGAAACCTTGTATGTGTACAGGTAAGCCAAACGGATGCTAGGTCCTACTTTCTTTTTTTCCCTGCGCTTCTAGCTAAATTTCAGGCCTATACCACACTAATAGCAGCAAATCGACCGGTTCTGCTTAAAAGTCAGATGAACTCATCATGTGAGGAGATCAGACAACGTGTAATGCCACCAATACCAATGGATAAATTAGCATTTGGTGTCGCTTATGTTCGTGTGGTGTACAGGGTAAGCCGCTTCCTCGTGTGTTAGGTCCAGGAAGAAGGGGGAAAGGGTTTGTGTTAGGTCCAGGAAGAAAGGGGAAAGGGTTATGATGTGAAAAAGCATGTTTCACTCGAAGTGTAAACTTTCTTTATAACCTTTTGAATTCTTGGCCGAAAGAGTGAAAGGTGAAACAAAGCGAGGAGTTGCATCCGGGCAAGTAACACTAATTTGTGCAGGAGTAGGGTAGCTTGGAACGCTTCGCGTAGCACCTGCAGATATTGTCCCTGCGGACCAAGCGTGAGGAAGCAGAACCATTCCAGCCTTCTCCACCAACTGAAGGGTCTTGAGACGGCAACATTCAACTGAAAAGGCAGCCATGGCCTCGCGCAGGTCCGGCTCCAACACATGCCCGCTCGTGAGCGAGGATAATGATTTTTATTAGCCGGTTTTTTCCAGAAATGGAACGTTAGGGTTAAAAAAACAGTAGTAAGAGAAGGAAGGAAGGTACTAGCCGTAATTCATCGGGCCCGATCGTTGCACATGGATGTGTTCAGTTGACACAGTCACACCAAAGGATGAGGATTTACAACAGTAATGGACTGCTGCATTCGCTTAGATAATATGGTCGCCATATCGAAAAACAATGAAGTCACGGGAAAAGAGTGTACTTTCGAAATTCAGGTGCCAACTGGCTCTGGGAGCTTCTCTGAAGGCAGAGAACACGGTAGATAATTCTCCTCCTGGCCAAGAATCCAAAGAAAAGTTCAACAAAGCAAATGCGTAGCAATGAGGACGAAGCGGTCGAAAACAAGCGAATCGGGGACTTCACTCCCTTCTGACAAATTGTACACTTTCCTCCATGGGTGGTCCTCGTAGTGTGCGAGGTGAATGGGTCCGCAACTGCAAGAGCGCGTCCCTTTAATATCAAAAGTGCACGGGAACGTAGTAACTATAGCGTAGTATCGTTTGAACGCTGTGTTCATACTCCGCCCGCGCTCACCTAAAGGTGCAACACTGGCACTGATACGAAGGTCCTGCAGCGGAACACTCTTCCGGTGACGAGAACAATCAGAGACGAGAGTGCGCAGATAAGAACACGTTGACCATGGTCAAGCCTGCGGCTCGATATGCGGCAGCGTTAGGAAGCATTGAGACGACACTCGAGTGTAGCTACCTTTAGACCCCGTTTCCATACACTTTTTCCCCGGCTTCTGTAGTGGGTGGCGGGGCTTAACCGCAGTAGGAGGCAGACTTGAGCGGGAGGCTGATCAACATCTCTCAAGTCTTTAGACGTTTTTCAGGTGAGAAGGCGCTGAGCATAGGAATACCCGGAGAAGGCTGGGGCTTCTGACATTCTCTAGACTTTTGGTTACTTGTGCACTAAACAGTTAGGGGGCCTACGTGTTATTTACAGCATTTAGATATTCATGAAGCCCCGGCACTGCACAAAAATTGTATTTTAGGATTACACATTGATCGAGGAAGAACTTCGATCTAGTTACCACCCGCAAAACTTCTTCTGTTATTCTATTGACCAGAAGGCTGATAAAGATTTCCATGACAGAATAAAGCAACTTGCTGTCTGCTTCCCAAACGTCCTCATAACACCAGGTGATCATTTCCTTTTGAATTATCATTTTTATCTGCTACTGTTTGGTCACACCTTTGAAAGGATTCAGGTTTATCAAACAGGGTTTGCCCGTTTCTTCTATAGGGGGTCTTAAACTAATTGTCTGGGCTGATAGCCTTCTGCTAGCACTTTCAAGCATTTTGATCGCCTTCAGTGACTCATTCTTGAATCAGTTCCGCAAAAAGTAAGAGTGCCGTCAAATGTTCCATTTCTGCTGCTCACTCTGCTGCTCACTCTGAATACACGCTTCACTGCAGATCGCGCTGGAGTAGCCCTTAGGTCGTGGATTCAGGTGCTTAAACTGTGAAGTGCTACCCTTCGGCAAAGGAGATTAGATCATCATGTTGGAGGGAGTGAGTGCTGTGTGCTTTGAAAAGAGAACTCGTGCTCTTTTGCAGCGCTTTGATTTAACTTTTTTGCTCCTTTTCTGCTTTTCCTAGCTCCGCCCGGACAAGAGCTGCCTACTCTTATTAGCAAACAGTAGGGTGAAATCAAACAGATGTCAAGGGCGATGAGGATATTGTCCTGTGATTGGAGTTGGTTACCAGAAAAAAGCTACGAATGATGACAGGTGGAATGAAATGAATGGTCGAATGAAACAAGTCATGGGTACGTGGCGTAGTCGATCCCTTGCTATGGTCGGATTTTTGCAGATCATGGCTTGCTTGTGCTTCTTATAATCTAGAAGATATTCCATTTCGCTCTAGGATGATTTAGTGCTTCCGTAGACTTAGCCTCTAGACCCGACAAGTAGATGGCTGTTTATTTACACGGACTTTTGCTTTTGTCGACTCAATTGATTCAGCTCAATTATACTACTCAACTATTGGGTTGGCCCATGGGTGATGGCGTTTTTTTCCAATTGGAAATTTTGTTCAAAAAGTAAAACGCTTTGCGAGCAAGTTCGATATCATCTGATAGGAAACTTCTCGCACTATAAGAATATCAAAACAGCATCAAATGAGGAAATGATTTTTGTAAATTTTTTCGTTGAAGTTGAAAGTTGAGTCGGCGAAAATTAGTACCTTCGACAGCTGCCTCTATTTATGTCTATTCGAAGTGCTAAAATCGCTTAAAGACACATAGTACGCTCACACACATTGAGGGTGTATGAGACTATCAGCCCCCCAGCTGTCGATGTGTCGTGGTCCCCCCCCCCGCCCAAACATGCCCAGGAATGGAGATACAGGACCGTGAAACACGCTAATTCCTCCATGCTCCGCCTTACACCTTTTTGCGGCGCAGATTCCCGTCCTTCATAACATCCGTCGTAAGCGCGCGTGTCGCGTGCGGCTCCTTGGCACTTTGCCAAGTCCTTTAATTGCGCTTTCAAATACAAGTAAAACGCAATTTCCTGATGCGGATAACATTGGAGGTGCTGCAAAATAAGAACAGAAGATGATGACGAGGGTCAGAACTTAAAAGCAACTGTGCCACTTCTGCAACATCCCTCGGAGGCCGCGTATTTCCACGAAACATGAAAATAAAAACGGCATACTCGTTAGTTTGATACAAGCAAAACGCAATTTCCTGATGCGAATAAAATTTTAGGTGTTGCTCATGCTTCAAAATCCATGTACAAGGAGATGAAGATGACACAGGCTAGAAATGAAGCACAACGATGTAAATGTAAATAACAAAAATGAAAAAATCAAGGAAAGGCAAATTAGTTAAAATCGCCTGTAAATTTCTACGATCCGGCGCGAATCCGGCGCCAAAGCCATAGAAATACTTAGAACAAACGAGTGGGACGCTTGGGCTGTTTTTATTCTCATGTTTTGTGGGAATGCGCGGCCTCTGATGGATACTGCAGATGCAGCCGAGTTGCTCTTGAGTTCTGGCCCTCGTCATCATCTTCTGTTCTTATTTTGTAGCACCTCCAATGTTATCCGCATCAGGAAATTGCGTTTTACTTGTATTTGAGAGCGCAATTAAAGGACTTGGCAAAGTGCCAAGGAGCCGCACGCGACACGCGCGCCGCAAAAAGGTGTAAGGCGGAGCATGGAGGAATTAGCGTGTTTCACGGTCCTGTATCTCCATTCCTGGGCATGTTTGGGCGGGGGGACCACGACACATCGACAGCTGGGGGCTGATAGTCTCATACACCCTCAATGTGTGTGAGCGTACTATGTGTCTTTAAGCTGCTCCATACATTTGCAATAGGTTGAGCTAGAAGTACCAGCGAGGGAATCCCCATAGGACGCTTCAGAACTAATTTCAAGAATTTCGAAGTTGGCAACCTTCACCTCGCAGATAATGGGCAGGATCACAAGTCATCGCGTCTGTTCCACTTGAAATTTATGGTAATAGTTGAATGTTTCGCTAATTCATTTATTTATTATGCACGCAAGCATGCGCTACAGATACACGTAACCGGATGGATTAGACAAGCGAAACATCTAAGCGATATAGACAAAAAAACAGCAACATATTCGGTAACACAAATATACACCAGTAGCGAACTTCCCAGACAACAATCTTCTAGAAATCCTCAATGCCTATCAAAGTGAATAGGTCAACTTCCTTCAATTTCTTTTGAACACGTTGGTATTTGGCGCCTTCTGTAGGATCTGATGGCAGTGACTGGAGCCATCTCGCTCCACGGAAAAATAATGAGTTAAATACCCTGGGTCGATGGTTACTGCATTGCAAGAACAGCGAAGAAAAGCGGCCCCTGCTTGGCCTAAATACCCAGTACTTACTAGGCTGCAATCTTAACTCTCCTTTGAGTAACTTGAAGCAGAAACAATATCATTAAACACTCTTCTATATATAATAGCGACTTCAGGTTAAAAAGCTGTAAGCGCTCTTGATAGGTGGGTAAACCACGTGGGTATGTCGGGCTGGGATAACATCGGTACATCAAAATTCTGGTGAAAGTTTGCTGAACCTTTTCAATTTTTGCCTGTAATTTTCTGGTATGAGGGCTCCATATCTGAGAACCATATTCAAGTAAGTATGGGGACAACATATGCTTTATAGAGCCTCAACAAAGTTGTAGATTCATTATGTCGAATACATCTGAGCATGCAGAAGAGGGTTTTGAAAGCTTCTGAACGACAGCATCAATATGACGTGTGAAATCCAAATCAGAATTACAAGAAAGCCAAGGTCTCGAACTTCACTCGAGGTAGCAAGAGAAATACCATCGATTGTGTACGGTACAACCCTGGCTACTCCCATATGAAGTACACATGTTTTCGTGAAATTTATGGGTATTCCCCAAACAGCTGCCCACTCTCACTCTATCTCATGTTGCATACAGATTGGGTTAGCGCTTGGTGCACACATTCATAATTGCCATCATTATAAACACCATAAACTTGATGTCGTCAGCGTATATTTGAGCCTTGACTAAAGGATGAGTATTGAGGTAAGCGGGCAAGTCAAAGGTGTAGGCCAGAAACAGTAGAGGTGGCTCAAAGGTGTAGGCCAGAAACAGTAGAGGTGACAACACACCTCCTTGTGGAACTCCGCTACAACAGTCGAAACTTCGCGAGAAACTATTACCAACTTTGACATACATGTGCCTATCTTTTAGATAGGAACAGATCCAGTTAAGGATGGGGCCTTCGATTCCTAACTGCCACAATTTACGACAGCAGCTTTTCATGACTCACTTTATCGAAAGCTCCGGACAAATCAAAATAGATTATGTCCACGCCCCTTCCCCCCATTAATAGCAAGATTCCAATCAAATACACAGTCTGCCATAAGGATACTACTAGAAGCACCGCTAACAAAGCCATGCTGCTCTGTGGGAATGAGATTATGTTTCGTTAAATGAGATACAATTTTATCACGTAATATCTTTCCAGAGCTTTAGACTGGCGGAAGTTATACTTATGGGGCGGAAGGAAGACACTAGCTTAGGCTCAGTAATCTTAGGAATGGCAGTAACGATAGATTCTTTCCAACTCAGCGGGACCTCGGAGAACATAAGAGAAACGTTGAGAATCATACAAGTAGGCTTGCATAAAGAGAGAGAGCACAGTTTTTGTATACAATCTGCGGAATCCCATCGGAAGGAAGAGAAGTGGAGCATCTGAATGATTTCAACGTTTTGTACACCACGTCGTAGGTTACTACACATTCACTGAGGACATTCAAACATTTGCGAGCTCCGGAACTCACATTGGAAATGCTTCCTCTGTCAGTGGAGAATACAGATGAAAAGAACTGTGCGAGCGCTTCAGCTTTTTGACCATCAGTTAGGAAACGATTGCCGCTTTCATCAAAAAGTGATTGATAATGTGATTTGTATGCTCTGATAGCAAATTTCGTGCTCTATAACACTGCAATGGAAATCTGTTTTCCATAGCTGTTTACTTTCTGTTAATTTCAGGTTATTAATACGGAATGTCAGGTCGATGAGAATCAGCATTCCCGACTTCTTCTCCCTACCGCTTTCCACGGAAGCTTCAAAGCCCCTGGAGCAGCCAACAGATTCACCAGGGTTTGAGTAAAGCATTGAGTAACAGTTTGATATTAGGACGGCTCACAATTCATTTTGAGAAAAGCAAAGCCGACAACGTAGACCTTGCAGAATCCGGTTTTGACCTATGCCCCGCGATTTTTTTTGTGTTCCTGATTGACTTTCATATTCACAACACTATAAAAAAACAGATGTTTACACTAAACTAGTCAATAATATATTCTCCATTGTTTCTTACAACCTCCTCCCACCGAATCGGCCAGCTCGGTCAGTCACCGTGAAGCCACTGAAAAGCGGGCTGATCATGGGAGGAGGTTGTAAAAAGCCAATGGCAGAATAATATCATCGGAGCTAGTTAGACGTAAACATCGGTATTTTAGTATAGTTTGTACATATTGTCGTTTGGAAGTTGATCAGGAAGGCCAAAAAAATCGTAAGGGTAGGCTCCAACGCGGATGTCTGCAATGGTCTCGTTGTCGGCGCTTTGCTTTTCCAAAATGAATTGTGAGGCGGGGGCGTGGCTACATTAATCTGTTACTCAATCATTACCACCCCTGGTGAATTGTTTGAGTGCTTCAGGGTGTTAAGGTTCGGGAAAGCGGTGGGAGAAGAATTTGGGAACGCTGACTCCATCGACTGATCATCTTCGGTATTAATAACTGACCAGAAAGTGAGCGCTATTGGGAAAACAGATGTTCCATTACATGTTATAGAACCGAAATTTCGAGACAGAGCATGCAAATCACATAGACG